ATTTAATCTAAGATTTGATATCATGTCTGACTCTGATAATTCTGATGAGTGATATTATAGATAAAGAAAAATGAGTTTGATACTATACAGCTCATAAATATCTATAATGAAAAGTCATTGAAGAAAAATAACAATATCTGAACAATTGATAGAGAATTTTCTCAGAGAATATCACCGCTCCACCACGAACTCGCTCGATTTTTCGAATAAGAACCCGCCGATAGATCCATCGAAAAGCCCTCGATCATACGAGCATTTTGACCCCATCGCCGACCGCATACCCCGTGTGGTGGTGGAGTTATCCAGCCAAACGTGAACCAGACGTCGTTCGAAACTCCTGTGTGGGATTATCCCCCATTCTCCCCTACCACACCACAACCCCGGGCCAAATTGCCATACAAATTGTAAGGTGAAGAGACCTAGCCATATGCACCAATCTTCTCGATTTTGGAAGATCCCCGATCTGTAGTTGTGAAGATATCTGAGGAGCGACCTCCGCGAAAACCCTGTTCATCTTTGATGTTCCAAAACACCAACGCCAAGTCCCACCCTCGTACCGCCCTTCCTAATCTGGCCCATCCCCGGCAGAAAAATACAAAAAGATACCTCAGCGGTAATATCAAGCACATAACCAACAGTCACTTCTGAAGTGCAACCTCCGCGGTCTGTCTTCAGTGTATCTAGACATCAATGCCAAGTCTCACCCTCGTACCATCCCTCTCAATCTGGCTCATCCCCGACAGAAAAGTACAAAAAGATACCTCAGCAACTGTACTCAATACATAATCGGCAGACATGACAACTATAAAATCAGTATATTCCAAGATCTGACTGAGCCTTTGATCCCTGCACAGTGAGATATATTAAATCTAGTTTTAATATCTCAATATTCAATAGATTCTGCAAGAGATTGAGAACAGCAATACTAGATCTCTATTGAATTTGAGAATTATCTCTATATTGATATAATCATTGACAAAGTCTTCTATTTTAAGATATAAATAACCAGTTCCTCTACATCCTGCTGACAATATTTATATTATTATATAGAAACAGACTTATATTCTCTATAATATCAAGACTCTGAAGAGAGAAAGTCTTGATAGAGAATATATAGTAGTGTATATCTTAGCAGTTTCTATCTCATTCTTCTGCAGCAGTTAATGCAATAAAAAAAAGATCTTAGAAATAGTTTTTTACTTCTCTTGAAAAAGTAAGATGTTTTTCTCTGAGTTTTACACAATATTCTTACAAAGAATTAAAAACAGAGTTGTTTTCTGTCATAATTTTATATTCTTTTAAGTAAGAATTACTTTTTCAGTGACTGAAGAGCTTTCATTAATACTTAATTCTCTTTTACACTCTTTATTGACTGATTTGAGTTGTATACTTGTTATATGAGAAGAATTGAATGATTTAGAATAAAATTGAATAGTTTTAATCAATTTCTCTGTAAAAAATTAACTTATTTTTTATCAGTTTTTCTCTTAAAAACTGTCATATCATCTGATTTATTATCAATTGA